AGGCTGGGGCGCGCACTGCATTCTGATGGCGCTGGGCAGACACTCGCGCTTTGTCCCGGTCCGCAGGGCCTCATTTGCTTGCAGGAGCAGCGTCGGGCAGGAAGGCGGCCCCAGCTCGGGGAGTGTGAGAACCCCGGCCCGGCCGTGGGAACCCCTAACCGAGCCCTGCGGGAGGGGAGCCATGGGGGCCAGATGGGCGCGGACCACTCCTCGGGGGCTGTCAGCTCCCGGTCCGAGCCTCCGGGCGGCCTGTCTGATGCTGGCTGGTGAGGAACCTCCTGGTCTTTGTGAAATGAAAGGAAGTGGTTTTACAGCTGCATCTACCCCACCAGCGCCTTTTCGCTTCTTTTAATTTTAACGGCAATCAGAAGGCCTGGCGGGAGGCGGGAGAGAAACGCTGCCAACGCCCTGAGCCTGCGCCTCCCAGGTTCCCGTGTCACCTTTGGCCTCCGTAGGTGCGTCTGCTGTCACAGGGTTGGGGACAGCTACGTTTTGTAACTGCCTTGGTCACTCCTGGGACGAGTCCCGCCTGCTCCCCCAGGGCTCCCTCCCCCGCCCTGTGGAGAGTGGACGGGGTGGGGGGGACCCGCTGGCAGCGCCGCTGTGCCGCCTCCCCACCCGGGGGACGTGCTCCCGGGCTGCCTCCCTCAGGCGCGGCTCCAGCTCCGGCTCCGCAGGCCCTGCCGCCACGCCAGCCCCCCCGTCCGTGTCGGAGGCTTTTGCGGGAGCCGGGGGAGTTTCCTCCTGCTGGGGTGCCTGCCCGCGGGCACCAAGGCCCCGTCTCCGCTGGGTTGGGTGTGTTCAGTCTGTTTTATGACCGAGATGCGAATCGCTCCGGCCGTTGCGCTGCGTGTGGAACCAGTTCCGCTGCATTTTTTAAACACGCAGACGTTTGCTCTTGTCCAGGGACCGTTAGAGCTGTCCCTCTGCGCTGAGTCCTTTCTGTCTCTCAAATAGACCGTTACCGTCCCTGGGGACGCGATAGCACCAAGTTCTCTTTTCTTTTGGTTTTTGTGGTTGGGTTTTTTTTTTTTCAAGTTTATGTAACCTTTCAGTCCATGGGCGTTCACAGCTCCTTCACACACATGTTCCGACGGCTGCCCCCGCCCCTCCTCCCCTCCCGCACGCACCCCGCTCTCCCTGAGTCCCAGGGGCCTTGGGTTCCCGTGGTGTTCGCTCCGGGGCCACATCGGCCCCTTGGATGTCCCCAGAGCTCTGAGGGGCGCTGTCCCAGGAGCCCTGCGGCCCCTCCCCTGCCCTCACCTGCCCTCAGAGACCAGAGCGAGTTCTGGTGCCTTCTGAGTGGGGGCCTTGCCCCAGCAGCGATGCCAAGGGGGGCGAGGCCTCTGGAGGGCGGGGCAGGCACGTCGCTGCAGACGACACCCCCGGGCGTGATGAAGGTCCCCAGGAGCGTCCTGGCATCAGCGGTCGGAAACAGGAAGCGCATCTGCCCCCCTTCCTGTTCTCCATGAAATCCCCAGCGGGGGGGGAGGCCCGTGCACGGTCCCATCCTGCGCCCCCGCTTCCTGCCGCCTCGCGTGGAGATCGGCGTCCCGTGTGTTGGGTGCAGGCCCGGGGCGGCCTCGTGTGCGTCATGGGAGCTCCCGGGCGCATCTGTCTCGCCATGTTCTTCCCGCTTCAGAGGCGGGGGCGGGGCGAGGGCGGGGCGGGGCGGGGGCTCAGGAGGGGCGGCGCCGCGCAGGCTCTGAGCCTCAGGGTGTCCGGGCCCCCACTGCTGCGAGCACCTAGGGCTCCTGGGGAAGTCGGGGGCTGGGGTGTGGGAAGTCAGGCCCGTAGCCAAGCGGGGGCTGTGTGCGGCACGGGGGTCGGCTTGAGGGTGGCGGCTGGCCGTGCAGGGAGGGCCACGCACACCCTGGCCCCTGGGACTCGGGGGCACTGGGGTTTCCGGGCGGAGTTCAGGCCGAGAGGAGGGGACTGGGCACTCCATGGCGTGTCTGTCCCTGGGTGTGCACGTGTGTTTAAACGTGTGTTTCCACGTGGCCAGCAGCCCACCACACTGCAGTCTGGGGCCCGGGGAGGCCGGCGGCTGCTGGCCCGCCAGGCGTGTGGAGACCTCAGAGCAGGAGGCTCGGCCGTCTCGCAGCCTGGCCACTGAGCACCCGGTGCCTGGTGTCTGGCGGTTTCCGGGGGTTTGTGGCTGCCCCAGGCAGTGCACGGAGCCATAGCTCTGACCTCATTCATTTTTTAAAACATATATTTATTGATTTCAGAGAGGAAAGGAGAGGGGGAGAGAGATAGAAACATCAGTGATGAGAATCATGGATTGGTGCCTCCTGCACGCCCCCACTGGGGATTGAGACCACAACCCGGGCTGGTGCCCTTAGCCGGAATCGAACTCAGGACCCTTCAGTCCGCAGGCCGACGCTCTCTCCACGGAGCCACACCGGCTAGGGCAGGCCTCATTCTTGACGCTCAGAGAACTTTTGAGGAGTGTCAGGCCGCCCCTGTCCTCCCGACCTCAGCTGCCCCCCCCGCCCCGCCCAGCTGCCCCCCGCCAGCTGCCCTGTGCACAGGGCTGGCCCGTCTTTCAGGTTGGAAGGTCCCCTGAGACCCTTGTCCCCTCCTGCCCTGCGGGGCTCAGTGAACCCACTTTTGTCCGCAGCCCTGGCAGGGAGCCGCCGCCGCCCAGCAGGTGGGTGCATGGCGGGAGCCGTGCCTGGGCCTGGCTGCTCCCTACGGGTAGGGCTGGGGCGCCACAGCCTGGGCCCGGGGCCGGGTGAACGGGAGGACCCGTCCTCCAG